GTATATGTATATGTATATGTATATGTATATAAAAGCAAATTTGCCCTTCAGCAATTTCCACCCAAATAGTTGTTCAAACTTATAATGTACTGACATTTTGTTTCTTTTTCCATTAAGAAATACCATCTTTATGAGGTTATGAAACTGCCGCACCCTTCCCAGCACCCAATTTACCATTTGCCACATCCAGGATCTTCAACTACTCCTTCTGATAAATTAAGGGTAGAAGTGGAAGTAGAAAGCCAACTGCTCCCATGCCCACCCCCAACTACAAACAACAAACACCCCCCGCTCAAAATCATGCCATCAAAATCCATTGATTGTGGCACCCAAAATAGGTGCCACAGTTTGGGAGTCCTTGAGTCTGGACTTAAGAAACATTTTGCTTGAGAATGGCAGGAGGGCTTACCATTCCAGAGGGAGCTCCCAGCCATGTCGAAAGTCACATCGTCCAAGTGCTGGATGCAAACACGGCTATCGATCTGGTACAGCAAGGCTGGGCACAGCAGGGTGAACTGCTCCGGGGTGATCTTCGAGACGGTGTTCAGGCCAAAATTGACAAGCAGTTGAGACACATTGAGGCACTGGAGAAAGAAGAACAAGTTCTGGGCTGTTTATAATAGGAATGAATAATGGGGCTAACCTGGGCTCGGCCCTCCAACCAGGGGGGAACGGGCCTCCGTTGCAATTGTCCATGATCCATTTCTTTGGGATACTCCTGGGCAGCTCTAAAACAAGTGGAAAACTGTTGCCACACTTGGGAGGGGAATTACAGTCACGAAAATGGGCAGGATGGGAAATCAGAAATACGTTGTATTTTCTCTGGGAGATACAAAGAAATACAGTGAACCAAAAAGCAGAGAATATAGAACTAGCTTTCCTGAAAAGCAGAAGTAGGATATTGCACCAGTTGTACAACATTGCTTTTTCTGTGTGAGTGTGTTTGGGCCTGTATGTGACTATATGGATGCCCACATATTTTAATAGCAGCTATTTTTACAGTATGGCTTTTGAAAACAGATGACAGGTTGCATTGGTTCACGTCAGTCCCTGCTGACCGTCTCCTTTTGGGGATCACTGGTTGTAACCGAACTGCTGCCTGCTGCCAGTCATTAGCCTGAAGGCCAGATGCAGCCTGAAGGCCCTGTGTAGGTTGCCCACCCACAGTTCAACTGTGAGTGCAGCACTGAGTGCCCCACTTCAAGCACAGACGCTACGGGTTCTTTCCAAATGGAACATCTGGCCAGTCGGTATAAACAAAGGATCTCAGTTCATTTTTTCCACCTTTCAGACCATGGAATACAATTTGTAAGCCAGACAAGCTCTCCCCCACCACCCGCCACACCTGCTTATTCAGAATAGCTTGACTACCTCCCTACCAGCCCAATCCATTCAATACACTTCCTCCAGTAAGGCAGGGAATCTGGAGAATGACTCCAGCGCATTTCCCTCTTACTGTCAGGCCTAGCCCAAGGAACTCCAGAAGACCATGCAGATTCAGTCCAGCAATGTTTATTAGCTACGACCTCTAGCAAGACTCTTCCCAGACTGAAACTTAGTTCCCACAGTCAGCCAGTGAAAACAGAGTCAATTCCTCAGGGAGGTGCCAGCCTCATCCTCTTCCTCGCCCCTCAGGAGACGAAAGAGCACGTTTCCCTCCCTGAGTCTGGCCTTCATAATTCCATTCCATCACACTTACATCTTCATGCAGGTGATTGAAGACCGAGTGATCCAAGGCAATGACTCCCTCCAGAAGGCTTAGCTTAGAACGGGAAGGCACGAAGGCGCTTTCTTCTTTCCCCTTGCCGGAGTGCTCTGGCCCTTGTCCAGAGCTGGGCTTGAGGACGTGGCTGACCCCATGGAGGGCAGGAGATACTGGGGCACGGATTGTGTGGTCCAGCGGAGAGAATCCTGGGCTGAAGGAAATGTGACATAGTTATCATCTCAATGGGGCAAGACTGCATTTCACTGAAACGTTAAGGAACCGTTTGGACACCGTACGGCTGACTAAATCTCACTGAGAAGAAGAAGAAGAAAGAAGAGAAACAGAACTAAATAACATAAGGCTGCAGGTTTGAGGATGATTATTATTTTCAATGTATACCCCGCTTTTACTCCAGGAATTTATCATGGTGTACATAGCTCTCCCTCCTTCTATTTTTCTCCACAACAACCCTGTGAGGTAGGTTGGACTAAGAGTCAGCTTCTGTGCCTGAGGATGGGATTTGAACCTGGGATGCCTAGTCCCAAAGCGTAATCCGTACATTGCATTCCTTTCATGACATTTTTTAATTATTAGTGTAAAATCTAATCAAACAATATATAGGTAGTCCTCGTTTAGACTGCTGTACAGCAACCATTCGCAGTTATGATGGTGATGAAAAAGTAACTTTGCGACCAATCCTCACATTTATGACCTTCGCAGGTCTGTAAAGCAAAGGAAAGCTGAAGTGAGATTGTAGGCACAGTTGCAGTTTCACTTAGTGACTGCTTCACTTAAAGACCAAGTCGCTGGTCCCAATTGTGGTTGCTAAACAAGGACTACCTGTATCTTTTCTGAATTTATCTATCTCCTCCCAATTTAATGTTAGCCCAAATTGTTTAAATTGATGGCCAACAGAGACGAGCTGCTTCTTCTCTTCTTTTCCTCTTGCAATGGTTGAAGCAAGCCTGTTACTGCTAGGTCTCAGCTTCTTGCAACACAAAATATTTCAACTGCTCCATTTCAGCAGGTTGCTTGGTTCAGCAAGATCAGAACACTGAGGCTAGCAATATGTTTATTTTCCTTGGGCTTAGATGCTGTGCAAGATGTTAGCTGCCGGTCAAGAACATAACAAATACAACGCTTTAATTCATTCATTCTTCAATGGAAATATGTGCTGGCAATTTTCCATTGTGTACAGACGGAAGTATCTTTCCCTTAAGCTGCAGAATCAGGGTTGGCAATTTGTCACAGACCTCCCTTGGCTCTTGCCAGGTGGGTCTCTGCCCCACCTGACTTTAACATTTTTTTCAGATTCTTTCCTTCAGGATAAATAAACCAGAACCAATAATAATCTTAAAAATAAAGAACCATAGCATCAGCTTGATTTATCTCTGGGCTCCACAGAGGTCCTAGAGGTATTCTTAGCAAACAAACACATTCCAGGGTTACACCCGGATGCTTTGTATGGAAGTACATCCAGTCTGCCCAGAACTAAAAGGCAAAGGTACCCTAAAATCCTCTGGAAGGGCCGCAGGGTGGGGAAGACCCTCCCCTGTTTACCTTCCAATAAATGGATCCTTTGTGACTGGCCACGCCCACCTTGGCAGCTACTTTGTGAATGGGCAAGCCCTCCCCAGTGCAGCCATTTTGTAAGGTTGCTCGCTGTGCGCTTTCAGTCTTCAGAATGGGCCCACCTGGAGGGGGTGACACTCTCCGCTTGAGTCTTGGCCCTGGGCTCTGTCTTGCTCAGGTGGTCCAGCGCCGAGTGGGAGTGCAAGTGCTTGTTCTCTTGGACCTCCAGGATGTCCAGATGGGAGACATGACCGTGGCCCAGCTCCTCGTGCTCAATCTCTACCACCTGCACCTTCCCCAGCCCCAAGCTTAGCAGGAGGCGGGTCAGACCCTCGAAGGACAAGGTGCCGTTCTCGCCATACTGCCGAAACAACTGCTGCAAGTAGTAACCCTGCTCTTGGGTGGCGTCTTCGGGCAGAGCCCCAGCAGCTCTGCCAGCCAGCAAGTCAAGCGGCCCTGCCTGGGCAAGACGGCATATGCCCTGCAGAGAGAGCCAGGCCACCCAGAATCTGGCCAGATGGAATCTCAGGGTCTGCTGGTCCATCAACAAGGGCCTGCATTGAAAGGAAAAAGCCCAGAGGTAGAATCCCAGCCTAGAGCAGGAAGAGACTCTTACCCTGGAAGAGAACCCGATCCTGATTTGCCAACACCTGTTAGGACAGGGAAGTCCTTGCCATGACTGGGCACAAGAGGAGAACTTGCAAATCTACCTCCTGTCCTCTTCTCAACCAGTGCAGTAGGAGACGCCGTCTAAGCATCGGTTCTTGACGGAACGCCTTGAGGGATCTTAAAGGATTTGGGCTTGCACAACAAACAACTTTATTATTTCCTCATGTTCAGATCCATGTTTGCGTGCAACTAAATCTTGATAATTATTTATTTATTCGTCTATTAAACATTTTTCAATACTGCCACAATCAAAATTAATCTCCTATATTTCCATAGGAAATATACATGCATGCACACCTGCGTGTGCGTGCATGCCCACACACACACATGTGCATGCATGCACGCATACATACATATATATATATATATATATATATATATATATATATATA